CAGCAGCCTAGACAGCATGCATACACATGGACTCACACCACACACACACACACACACACACACCCCGCAGCAGCCTAGACAGCACGTGTACACACGGATTCACACCATACACACACCACACCGCAGCAGCCTAGACAGCATGTGTACACACGGACACACACACACACCCCCCGCAGCAGCCTAGACAGCATGTGTACACAAGGATTCACACCATACACACACACCGCAGCAGCCTAGACAGCATGTGTGCACATGGACTCACGCCACACACACACATGCCACTTTCCGTAAAACCATCCCGACTTTTCCCTCCCTCCTGAATGATTCAGCTGAGGACAGGGGCCACGCGTCAGTGGCCCGGTATGAAGGGTCAGAGCCTGAGCAGGGTGAGGAAGGGGGGCATTTGGTACGGAGTTGCCAGAGCCTGAGTGGGGTGAACAAGGCACTGCCCAGGCGACAGGGTGAGGGCAGTGGCAGCAAATGGGTATTTGATGACCAAAGGGAACTGATCTCAACGAGTAAATCAATATTCTGAGCATCATGGAAGCCAGGTTTCTCACGGTCAGAGGAGGAGGTCACAGATATGAAAATGGAAAAATAAATGAATGAACAATACAGTATCGGACAGCAATCGGAAGTACTGGTGTGAACTCAAGTTTTCAACGTACAGGCAGATGCAGGTAATATACAGAACTTCATGCAGAAGTGTACACATGTGTGCATACACACATACACAGGTCCAAACATATCTGCACAGCTATACACATATACCCAGATACTTCCTGCTCCATGGGAGCAGTGACACGCCAACAGCAGTGAGTACACCTAGTGACCAGCACTGGTTTCTGACATGTCGCTCTCTCCATCAGAGAAACCAGACTCCTGGAGAATGGCCGCCACGATAAGAACAAGGTGAGCCTGGAACATGTTCTTATGCCAGAAAGTAAGGCTGTGCCGAAAAGAATGACAGGAATGCGTCCGAGGACACAGAGCCAGTGCAAAGGGGCACCCACTGGCCAAACTTGGGTCAACTTAAGCATCAAGATAATCAAAGGTAATAGATCCCAAGCCAGTGAATAAAACAGGAAACTGTGAGTCCACACTGACACAAAGAAATCAAAGTCTAAAGGATGAAACAGTTATAGTCTCAAACAATTACAAAGGGAAGAGTAACTGCAGGGGAGAAGCTGAGTCAAATAACCACAGGTGCCAGCAGTGAGACACACGGAACCGTGCCACCTGGACGGATGCTCTGAGAAGAACCAGCATGGCTCCTGCGGGGCTGCTGCACAACCTGAATCCAATCACAAGGACACTGCAGACAGCCCCGGACTAGGCCTTCTATGAAATAACTGGCCTAGAATCTCCGAGGGCACCAAGGTAACAGAAGCAAAGGAATGGCTGAACCACTGACCCCAGCTGAAGGGGACTCGAGACATGACAGCTAAACACAGCTCATGGCTCTGAATGGGACCCTCGTACCGGGAGGACATCACTGTGACAACAGAGCATGGATGGGGCCTGACTACGGATTAGTGGTAAGTGAGGTTGCAACACTCACTTCCTGATCTGCCAGCTATGCTGACATGGGAAGGGTCCTGTTTGCAGGAAACGGCCATGAAGCACTTCCTGAGACATCGGGTCAGCAACTGACTCTCAAATGGTTCAGAAGAAAAAGATTTCATACTGTCCTCATAACATTTCTGTTAGGTTGAGAATATTTCTAAAATATGCCAAGGAAAAGAAGTCTATGCTTAGCTTCAGTTGCCAAGAACGCACTAGGGGGAGAGAAAATAAAACTTTTACACGAATGGGGCAATGATACGTCTCCTACTGGACTCACTGTGTGGGGACCACAGTGTGTGTGAGCAAACCACAGCCGGGTCAATGGGACATTACTGCTGAAGACGATGGTATCTCGACATCCAAGAGACAGGACCAAAGTTGTCAAAGTGAGATGCAATACCCTCCTTCTAAGGCGTGACAGAATTCCTACAAATTCTGAAAAGAATTACAGTAAA